TCCACGGTCCGACTCTGGAAATAATTAGGCATACAATGGACTCAGGACAAGGTGCGTTTCTATCAGTCTTTCTACCATTATGACTAATATTTTTTTAGTTTATCTTTAAAAGCAAGCAATATAGTAATTGGTTAAAATATTAAACGAATGTTGAAGGCTATAAAATAGTGGGAAATTTGTTGCTGCGCTATGTATAATAAGACTATAATGTCTAGGTTATTAATATAAAGCAATTTTTCAACGGAATATTTCGCAGAGGGATTACAAGATTAGATTTATCGTGAATAATCAAACATTCCCATTAGGAATTAATATTAAGCAAGTATCATTTTGAGACGGACAACAGACACAAGGGGATAGATGAAAGACTAGATGCCATGCCAGTAACCCAAAATTACCTCTGCCTCTATCTGGATAAAGCCATGTTGGAGAATGCTGATCTGTCGAACACCAGGCAGCTGGCGAGCTTGCGAGACATTGGCACCTTGGGTGCCGATTACTAAGCCTATTAGGTCAGGTTGCACACGAAATTGAGCCGCATAGCCAATCATGTGCTGCTGACTTGGGCTGGGCGCACCAATAACCGCAGATCGCCCTGAAGTCACTGCCGCATTTACTCCAGCAGACGGGATCTGCTGATTGGGAGGCTCAAGAACGGGAATATGGATAGGTACAATTTGCATTGGTAGTGTGGGCACCTGACTAGCTGTAGTGGAGCTGTGCGCAAGGCCATCAGCGCCACTGCAATCGGCATTACCAGTCTCATCTGTAGTCGATGGCTTGGTTGTAGAACCTGCTGGTTGAGTTTCGAATCCGATTCCAGGCCATTCCTCGATGCCACACGGGCCCAAGTGGTAACCAGCTTCATCTTCGCAAACGACTTGAGGTCCAGACTGGCATCTGGTTAGACCATTGGTTGGGAGACCAGTTTGATGCATAAGACAGGAGGGATCAGGAAGAGAAGGCAGGTGATCAAGCTCGCCTTTGCGAGTAGACTCCTTTCGAGAAAGCTTGATGTAAAAAGTAAAGTCGAATAAAAACCGAGATCGGATAAGTAAGTAAGGCATTCTTGCTACACATAATTAAAAAATTCTATAATCAAGACAGAAAGTATTTTGCTTTATGCCTTGGATACTTTTATGCAGATAAAAACCTATAAGACATATAGTGATAATTAGTTATAAAAAGGTAAGCGAAATAAGCATGCGAAGTTTAGACTCAAAACAAAAGCTAATAAACTATTGAGTTCAGTTGCAAATGTGATATCAAAGAGAGTAATTAAATTTCTATGTATTTATAAAAACCTTTTCACTGCTAAGCATGTATGAAAACACTTGATAATATGGTTGCAATATATGCATATATATGCTTATCTATTTTCAGGATGTGAAATAACTATAAGAAACTAATGACAAATCAGACAACTGACCCAATAGTGTCTTGCGAGAAGGGCACTGACATGCACTGATTCCAAAATGCTAGCCCTGCGTACTGCCTCTGAGCTTCCGGACCAGATATGTAAACGCACCCAGGGGCCTTCTGCGCCTGGGTACCCAGCCAGCAATATAGCGGGGCTAGTTGGTGGAACTTCAACTTGGAAGGAAGCGGCAGCCATAAGAGCTGATGAGATTGGGCCTGAGCCGAACTGACCAGCAACTGGCACAGGAGCAGGGGCCAGACCAGTTTGGCCATGAAACAAGAGCCAGGCGCCTGCTGTGGCCGCGGTAGAGCCAACGACTGAAGGCAGACTCTGATGCAGCTCACCACTACCGGACAAATGGCTGGGCAAAATACGCTCAGTTTCGCATTGCACTAAGCAAGGCGCACCACAAAAACGGACGAGAGTGATGTGAGAACTCTCCTGAGAAGCTCTGCCGGTTAAAATAATATAAAATAGCTCACATATAAGAAATACAAAAAAATGCCCTGGGAATTATCTTTTTATAATCGTGTTTATAATATTTCGAAGTTAATAAATAAATCTAGGAAGACAGCCTTAAATAATGGGCAATAAACAACCTCTATCTAAGTAGAAGATGAAAAGCAGCAAGGATAGAAATGATACAAACCTTTCCATAAAAATACAACTCGTAATCTAATGTAATTAAAATGAAAGGTACCAGCAAAATAGAAGACGAAGAATCATCATATCACAGAATAAAGGAAGGGAATTTATTCTACCAAATATGGATAGGCAATTCACTTTCACACTTACATAGGGTATAAATGAGAAGGGAGTAGTATCGTGTGGCGATGAAGCATGCCAGGGGTAAGGAGGCTGACAGCAACAGGAGGCATGAAACGGGGAGCAGAAGCCGATGTATTCGAAAGTGGAGATACTTCTCCATTTATTAGTCCTTCTGTAGACTTATCAAGATTTTGAGCATCTTTATTGATACCAGAAAGACCCGTTAATGCTAGATCTAGGCTAGCCTTAGTGTGACTAGACCAAACTGGTCTGAGTGCATCAACAGGAACAATAGCAGAACGATAGGGCAGAGGAACTCCGGGAAGGCGAGGCGGAATCCCGGAAGCAGAAAGGCCCTGGGACATATACGGCTCAGTAGAATCAAAATTTCCAAGAGCAGCAACCTAAGGACAAAAAATGAGTACCAGTGCTTTTTAAAAAAAGAACAAATTACACGTATACATACCTCAACATGAGCAAATTCACTCTGTATAGAAAGAACACGTCCAATCCACCACGCTCCAGGCGCATGCTGTCCGGGACTGGTCACCGGATCTTCAGGAAAAGAGTAGCCGGGAATTGTGCCGCCAGTTTGACTCCAACTAAGCCACACCTCGACGGGATCACGTGGGGAAAAATGATGCTGACGTCGCACCTTATAATCGCTACTAGCACAATTTTCCTCGGGCTTTTCTTCATTTGTGTGTCCAATAAAGCCGGTATCTTTGGGAGCATTTGATTGCGACTTGTGCGCGTTGTGGACGGTGGGATTACCTTGAATAAAAAGTGATTGAATTAAGAGACATAAAAGCAAGCGATTAAAAAACGAATCTACAATACCTTGAATCGAAGAATTTTCTTTGTGATCTTCGCTTAGATAGAGACGATTTACTCCATCAGGTAGGTTAATGTCATCAAGACTACTAAGGAAATCATCATCG